CCAAAGTTTTCGTGCTTTTTGGGACTCGTCAGCAAGGCGTATCTGCAACCTCGATGGAACTGATATCTCACCTGACATTGGAACCCACGTAAACCAGTGTTGTAGTCAATGACTCTACCACTGAGCTATTCGGTAAGGCTGGAAGGTACAACACTGAATAATGCGGGTTCGAATCTCAGACGGGATATCTGTACCGTCGAGGTTGCAGATACTCCGTGGTGATGAGAGCCAAAAGCATGAAAGCTAGGACTAGGTGAATACTTTTTGGTTCCAATAATAATGCTCCGGAGTGTAAACCGACTTTTCTTAGAGAGGTCAACTTGCTTCCAGCCTTCTTAAAGCTTTTTATATTTGGTGTTCAGTTTGTTCTTCGTAGTCTCACACAGAATTCTCAGTGCTGCTATTTCAACATAACAGTCAATATCTGGAATCTTCTGAATTCTTATTTGGAGATGAATGGATCAGCACTATAAGTTGGACTAGCAGCCTGTGAATGAACATCCCACCCAGTTCTTAGAAGCAGTGATATACGTTCCAGTGTCTACTTACAATATGGACGTATTCATTGAGTTGAAAGGTCGTGTCAAGGAACCACGCGCATGCTGCTTCAGTAGACGATGAGTCACACCTATTGAGTGACTGCAAATCATACTCCTTGGTTGAGCGAGGTTTGAGTTGTGACCCAATGTTTAGGGGCTGAGTACGTAACACAGTGAGTTAGAGCCCCAAAATCTTATATTTCTCAGCCCAGCACATGTTCATTTAATAAGTTAATAGCCATAACTACCATATTCTATTCAGTTATCTAAGCTAATGATTTCTCTGGATGAAAATGAATGATTAGTCAGACTCTAATTTATAATCAGTATTGGCTGACATAGTTCTGTGACTAATAGTTAGGGGTTCAGGATAACACTGTGAGTGACTATCAAGCTACCTCATCAAAACCTGTTCCCCACTCATTACTTTGCTTTTCAAAGTCGAAAGCGTAGTAATTCAAGGCTTCAGCAGGTTCATCCGCTTTAACACCGGCACACATCCCAAGTGAGGTATAAACACAACCAAGAAAGTCCCAACCCACCTCATTCATTGCTTTACGTCTATTAAAGATTATGCACGAAAGCTTTTGATGGGTTAGTGACATGCTAGCACTCATGAGGCTGGGTCACAACATTCCTTAGGGAACAGACTGCATCACGTTGTACACCATCAAACGTACAAATGTGTCTGTAAAACTTTTCATTCACAAAATGTAGACTTATTAACTAAATGATCGACCTCCTAGTCAAATCATATAATGGGATTCTCAATGCACCCATTTTGATCGAATTACTAAGGATGATGTACTCGTTAAGAGTGTTTCAAAGAAGTTAAATGAATATCTGAAAATGAGTAGTGAAATAACAGTTGCCTCCTTGAACTGCTGACAAAGTATACAAGAATGACCATTCGTAGACTGAAACTCCCTGGTATTTACATTCCTTATTGACATGTAACCTGAGAAGGTGAACTTATCAGAAATTCCTATTGGTCTGTGATGAAAATTGAGTCGCTGAACAGTACCCCTGAGAAAATCTCACCTATGGTGGCCGCTTAATTACCCGGAAACAGGAGAATCAGTAAGAAGATAGAAAGTAACATTCTGAAAGAGGAGTATTTCCCATGAATGAATTCTCTTCACTTTCTACAATTATAAAATGCATTTATTCAGGGTAAAAAATCAAGCCAAGTTAGGGGCAAATGCATTTCCGAAGTGTAATGATATTCAGGAACTGTAAGGAAATCGATTTTTAAAGATTTGTCGATATTGGAATACTATATGAATAATGTGATGGTAAACGAAAGATCAATCTTCTTGTTCCAATAAAAGTATGGAAACAAAACTACTGTGTATCCATGATATACTAAGGGAAAATGGATATCCAGACAAGTTCATAAAAGCTAACATTAATTACAGTGGTGTGAAACAAGAATTGATGACGTTGGAGAAGACGCCTTTGTTTCCGCGGCAACAATTCAAGGAAGACGCTCCAAGTGACATCCGATTACAACGCCTAGCTAGAGCAGTCAATAGGACGTTTTATGCAGGTCAGCTTTGTATATCTTTCAGGAATCAGTCAATTCTCAACCTGAGACTACTGGAAAGTCTGCTTACTCTTAACTCTTCATCTTGCCTATAACAATTAAACTGTTCCTGTGGAACTAGTTACATAGGCAGGTGCGTCTCCAGATACGAGAGAATTTATCAGCTTGATTTGGAAAAGGTGAAGTGAAAGTGGTGAAATGTCCCATCCTAGAAAACCTAGTAAACACAGGGAATCACATAGGTGCTAGTAAGGCTTTCCCTGTCGTTCATAATGTATCAAAAATATTACCACTTGCAGCCCACCAACGCATACTCGAAATAGCTTAAGCTGCTACCATAAAGTTGATCAAACCTGAACTGTGGATTAAGAAAGATCATGTTCCAGCGTTATTCAAGGAGGAAAGAAAAAATTGATTTCCTTACAGTTTCCAGTTCTCACTGCACTTTTAAAATGTATCTGCCTCTAACCTGACTTGATTTTACGATGTACAAATGTTTTTTTTTATAATTGCAGAGCCTGACGAGAATTTAGTGAAAAGAATGCTCCTCGTTCAGAAAATTGTTTTTTATCAATACTATGGGAATCTTCAGATGTTTGAAATCTTATAAAACGATAGAAGGTAAGTTCTGCATCCCTCAGGAGTGTGGAACCATGACTGTAAGTAGCCCACTACTTCCCCGATTTCAGTTTCTTTATAGTCCTCGATTGGCATTATCTTGAGAGTGACTTTAAAGGCAGTCTTAACAACTGTTGAAATACCTAATTTCGACTGGGTAGGTAGTTTTTCATAAGATGAAGAGATGGAGTTGGTTATCTTGGCAGTTTTTAGGGTGGCCTTTAAAGCCACCTCTATCTTGAGGTCATTCATCACTATTTAATTAATTGTCAATAGATTACATGTGATATACTTTTAAGCCCAGGTAATGGGAATGCAGATATTCACTCTGAATTGGCCACTTTATAGTAACCAGTGGCATGTCCGTAATCCCAATCAAAGTCCATGCATACACTGTGTGATCAGATGACTAGTCAACATGCTATTGTAATATACTCAGTGTTTTTATTACTATGAAGTCGGAAAGAAGAATGTAATGCATGGTCTGGCTGACAGGATTTGCTTTCTTTCGACTTCATCAACGCAAAAACCAACCAATGACTCGTCAGACATTGTTCAGTAATGACATTATCACTATAAAGTAGTCATAAAACTTTCGGCAGTTTGATTTACTCATCCGATTCCAACAGCTGAATGAATCAGTCGGAGATTTCTGATGGCATAAAACCAAATTGTTGGTTAATCACTGTACATAAACTGCATACCCTTAGAGGTGCTAAATTCCTAATCAAGCGATTCATCTCTTCTTGTACAACCCAATTAATGTAATGGAAGCGATGGTCAAGAATTTTTTTCAATTTAGCAAACATCCTGTTTTAACACCATAGTTTAATCCCTGTTACTATAAAAATGAATTTTCACTCAGAGATGCTGTCATTTCATGACTTTCTAACAAGATCAGAGAACAGGCTTTTGAAAACATCTGTTGATCAAAACACCTACACAGAATTCTCGCTTAATGTGACGGATACAGAAGAGTTTACTGAATATGGTTTCGGTCCTTATGACAATGAATTCAATCAATATTTGCTGAACTTTGGTGACGAAGCTGGAACTTCACTCTTTATCATCTTTTCAAATAAACAACAACTGAACATTGTATTAATCCCTATTTTTTTATTCTCTCTGTTCTCATCTTAATATGCTACTGTGAAAACCTCTCTCTTTTGCGCTTTTTTTCTCTGTATGTCATTTTGTAAATTTTTTCAGCCAACACATCTGTGTGAGGAAGTCTGTGTTGCTTTGACCATCTGACTTACCTAATAAAATCTGAGTGACCATGGGGATATATATTAGATGCCGGGAGTAAATTGACAAAATACTGCGACGAAAGTTTCGTAATTTTTGATGCTCACCACCAAAGCATATCGCACTTAGTAAGGAAACTGGTGTTACCTCGATGATACAAATCTGCATCACTCAGCCTACAGTATGCCCGATATTTTAGCACTTAGTTATTCATGCTACAACTGAACTCCTGTAGGACTGAATAGTGTAAACAAATTTGTCACTGATGGGTAGGTGGTATAGCTATCCTCCCCCCCCCTAGTAATCAGTAGGAACTGAAAGTTATTGACTGAATTTCAAATGTTACCATTGAATAAAGTGATGTGAGACTGTAGTGCACTGTATTTCGGCGTCTGACTTTACCAGGTGCTGACATTTGTGAAAGAGGCCTAACGACTACTGACAAGTCTTACCTTTTCTCTCTGGTGATATACTTTACACTGCAACTTGGTTACATTTTATCATCTACTTATCGAAAGTGGGAAAAATACTCACCATTAGATTTCAACTCAGTGTTCCAACGGTGGTCAAAATATTATATGCTATAGATCATTTTTGTTTGAAAAAGGATTTTTTTCTCATTGAACTCTTTGGAGAACTCTAAATCTCAGTAAGACTTTCTATCGTCTCTTAAAATCCATCATATAAAATTTCTATTCTCCTTGTCATTCGATAAAAAACGAACATACACGATAGTTGCATTCTTCCATTTTGTCGAGCAAAGAAAATAGGATAAGTTATCTGCAAATTCTATTGGCTACATTCATTGGCCAATCAAATCGTAGGGATCTGGTAGCTTATAAAAATCAAGTGTAATAAGATGTCAGTTGACTTTTCCTTATGATCACGAAATAATTAGGATACCTTATATGTAGCTGTTTATTTTCAACTATAAATACAGAGTTTTACAAATCATTCTACAGTACAGTATGCTTAATATTCATTTTAAGAAAATATGACCCTAAAACATGGTGACATGCATACTTTCGAAATATGATTTAAACACTCTCATGCACCCGGCTAGTAACAGTTCAATACCTTCTTTGAGAGCAGTGTATGATACAACACTAGATGAAGACGATAATGAAGATGACCATGACCATGACAAAGAAGTAGAGGATAGTGCTGAAGATGAGGTATCTGATGACCCGAATGACTCTTCGTCAGCAGCTCACGGTAGAGATATTGAAGGCTTGGAGGAGTTCAACTATAAAGAATCTACCTCAGATATTGTATCGTCTGTATCTTTTCTCAGTCGACGTATCACTCGAAATTACGCCAGTGAATTCATCCTACCCGATGATACACGTGTAGCTGTGAGTCGTCTTGAAGGTATCTATCCTATGGACAATAGTGAACAAGTTATACTAAGCCTATCCGTTGGTCATAAGAATATATATACTGGTCAGTATTCACCAGAGGCTTATCAGTCGACGTCTACACATCCTGTCGGTGCAGATGCCTGCAGCAATCGAGTATCCATGAGTAGTTCAGAGAAAACCAACACTTCAACGGAGAAAATGGTGAACAAGTCTGATGACAATCAAACTGCAGATGATAAATATTCAGATGGAATGGAGAGAAAATCATCGAAACTCAACAGTGAAGTAAGTTGAACCCTTGAAAACATATAAATCATTATTCGTCATTAATGTTAGTTTGACAATAATCATGACAAGGTAGATTGATTTCACTACTGACTGGGCTATCAATGACAGTCTATTTTGGTGGACTGTAAAACTTTGGTGAAGTGGAATCAGTGATGTAGTAAGAGAAGCTAAACCATAGACTAAAAATATGAACCTACACCTGTCACATCATTTAATTATCTAAACCACTGAGCCAACAGGTCATGCTGGTATGATCAAGTTTTCTAGTTTAGTCTTCATCAGGATTTCCTAGAATAAAACTTAAATAAATACTGTTGTTATGATACATGCAATTTCCCGTTACTATACAGGGCCGAATTGCTCGACCTCTGTTAGCAGATGGGCCGCTATGTGGATGCGGTGGAATCCAGGATGAGCGTTTCGTCCTATTTGGGACTCGTTAGTCGGATGTACCTGCACCCTAGTGAGTGATGTTGTTCCTAATGGGGCTCGAACCCCAGTGGCTTAGCGTATAATGCTCTAGCAATGCACTGACTAGATCTTTAGTCGTAACAGCATCTGTCGTTGGAGTACAGGCACATACAGCTGGCGAGTCCGAAATAGGATGAAACGAGCATCATGGATTCCTCTTTTAGTCATCAAGATCAATATGAAATAAATACTATTTTTTAGTTTTCATAGATCCTTCATGAGCATTTTTGCAACAAATCGGTCTAGTGATATTTTCCAGCTGTAAGAGTTTCAATGAAGCAAAGCTGAGCACTTGTATCCATATATATGTCTAGTCAGTCAGTGTGGATACGACCTAACACTAATCCAACCACTAGCTGTTCTTTAAAGAGTGAAGTTTAATTATCACTGCCATCCAGATCCTGTGACAGCCGACACGTTAATGAACTTATAATTTAGCAACAGCAAATGTAAACATGGCAGCCAATCACATTTCTACTGACTTCAATCATTCCCAGTAGTTTACTGAAAAGTTCACTCTTGGACACTATGGTAGAGTGTAATTTTATATTGATTTCGTTTACTGAAAGACAGTACTACTACTACTGCTACTACTACTCACATTAGTACTGAATAACCTGAGTAGTTCGAAACCATTGAGACTGATCTGCAGTAACCCACCGGACGGTTGCTTCGCTCGTTTATGGACCGAGGTCATCAGCGGTGTACCTGGACAAACTCAGCTCACAGGGCCGAATTATCTCAGATTGCCTGAATCTTGCTGGTTAAGTGACTTGTATGTCCTGGTATACCTAAAACTGGATGATTAGTCTGCAAAAGATTTACATATTCCACGTTCTACATTAGCATTTCTTGAAGTTGAGTAGTGTTTCATGTACCTAGCACACTGTGATACAGTATTAGTAATTTGATGACCTTTTCATTGCAAATTATTGCTCATATTTATATTAGAGTGGTCAAGCAACCTTCAAACCTCATTTCTACAAGGAGAAAACTCTTCATTCCTTCATCGTAATAGTAGTAAAATATTCCTATCACTATAGAACTGAAGGGATTCAGAAAACGATCAGATATTGACTTAGAGCACAATCATGGAACCTTAAGTAGTTGTTGGTGAGATCATGTTAGGTGTACAACTGTATCTGACCATCACAATCCTCAAAATATAGGCCCGCTATGACGTTGAAGTTTGTTCCGTTGTCCAGTGCACTTTTTAAGCAGAACTTAAGGTTGTCGTGGAGATACTGACCACTCCGATGTGTTCTATCAATGGCAGATTATGTTTCATTTGTTAGATGATATTCGATTACTTAGACGACGTCTAGGAGTAATTCGAACTTTTATAAAGCAAAATATTTGAAAATAGAACGGTTTGTAAATTTCTCTTTAGTTTTTGCAAGTTGTGTGTGTCTATTGGCTAACCTTCGAGCTAAAGGGACTATACTGCAAATAAAAAATATTTTGTAAATTCCGAATGAAGTAGAAAAATAAATTTCTGACGTTTCGCTACTTTGTGGAAATCGCTTCTTCAGAGAATGAAACCTGTACAAGTTATTGATGGTTTAAGTAGTAAAAGGTGACGAATCAAATCACATTGTCGTCTATACATGATTAACTGATAAACAAAGACAAATGGTGAACGCTTCATGACCAGCATAACAATGACATTTACGTTCATATTATCATCATGTATAGACGACAATGTGATCTGATTCGTCACCTTTTATTATTTAAACTATTCGATAGCTTGTACAGGTTTTATTCTCTGAAGAAGGGATTTCCACGAAGTCTCGAAATTAATTTTTCCACTTCATTAGGATTTTACAAAATATATTTCATTTACAGTCCAATTACCAATGCTCAACTTATTCAACTCTATCAGGTCAAATTTTGATCCTGAATTTTAAAAATGAGGATATATGTTTCATTAATTTAAGTGTAAAACTTGGCCGCTGTGCTAAAACGTAATTTCATGTTAGATGGCTTATTTGAGATAGCCAGTACATAGTGGTACAGTATTATCTACTTGATGACGTTTCGAGCATAAATGATTACTGCTCATAGCCATATCAATGTGATCATATTGCTTTCAAGACTTGATTTTTATAGTCCTGTCACCTTATATGGTTTATTTTTATGGGTAGTAACATTTTCAATATCTCCGGTATAGGTGTTGTGTCCCTCTCTCTCTCTCTCTCTCTCTCTCTCTCTCTTCACCTAATTATATTGCACTTATGTAGTGTGGTTTTATACCACCCTATTGTGTGGTTGTATGTTAATGCATGCAATGCAATAGCCGAAGGTCTTTTTCTAGATTAGTGATCCTCTTGGAGTCTGTCATTCCATATTTGGCTTAATTGATGTTCCAATGGTCTGACTGACCCTTAAGCTGACAAAACTTGTCTCTCAGTGACCTTGTAGGTTTGAATGTCACTCTACTTCCAGCCAAGTTGAGAATTCTATGTAAAGTTTCCAATGTTCTTTCTTTATGTGTTAGCATAATAGAGGCTCTGTGCGCCTTTCTACTTGTTTCGGTCATTTATATTGGTATTACTGTTTTTATTTTGTTTTTTTGCATTTTCGTACAAGTTTCTGAATAAACTGTAACGTTTCTTTCATGTGCCCCATTTCCTTACTTAGTTAAGTCCTTCCACTAACTAGTGAGTGCTCAAGCTTCATCATTAAAACATTTCAATAAACCAGCCTTAACTGATATTTATTAAGATGACCTGAAGTCTAGAAACCTATTACTGCATATCGGTTTCCTAAAGACAATAGTATCCAAACTACGTCTCTCATTCGTTTTACCGTGCAATCCAAGATTGCTAATTCTCATTGTTCCCTATTTATCTCGTAAGAGGATTGAATTGATTCAACTGTTGAGTTTATATATATGAAGAAATGGAAACCGTATCATCTACATATCACCATGTTTAGGATGTAAGATTGAACATGCAAAAAGTTGTCTGATCCATCTATCCATAAATATGTCTGCTATCAGTGGCGTGGGGATATTGGTCACCCTATCGCCACTCCTTCTATTTTGTGATATATCTTGTTGTGAAACTTGAAAACACTCGACGTCAGATACAACTGTAGTAGCCAACATGATCTCTCCAACTGATACCTTACCTCTATGATTATGTTCTGTGTCAATATTTAGCCATTTATCCCATTGACTTCAGTTCCCCGTCATTCGGTATCTTAATACAGAGGCTTGTTACATCATAACTAGTTATTCTTCCCACCATCTCTTATGTGTTACTCGTTGGCAGTTGGTTTATGTTCGTGGGAACTGCATAGTTTGAGTGTTTTCACTGGTAATAATTTACTCGCCAAATCCGAGTACCTATTGTGATGGAAACATGAGAATGTAGTGTAGATGTGGTGTTTACGGAATCTGTGGATTGCTTTCGTTTCAACTGATGACTGACTGGTCAACTTTTGAGTCTGACTGCAGGATTGAGACCATATCTCATTTAGTAGAACGTGAAGACTGGTTGGATCGCATATGCGGGTTAAGTTGTCTTCACTCCTTTGAATTGTGTCCATTGGAGGCATGCCATTTCATTCCCTCCTACTTCACATGTATAAGAGTAAACGTTGAGCACTGTGGTAGAATGTAATTCCATTTCACTCGATTTATCAGACATATCACACAGTCTAACAGTGTTGTTTACTGGATTACGTTTCAGACATAATTCATTGTCCATAGTCATATCAAAACAACTCCACAACTTCCAGACATGATTTATATAGTCGTAATTAATTGCCTTGCCTCCTCTGTGATGTGGGCAGTAGGATCTCACACACATCGGAAACAAGTGTTGAGTCGTCTGTGTTGTATGTATTTGGTGTTGATTGGATAGACAACTATTCAGTTATCAATCTCTCCCTCCACCCTATAATGTTACTTTTGATGATTTTCACCCTGTCCCATCGTGCTGTATGCTTGGGTGTGATTGCATGCATGCATAGTTATGGCTGAGGTTTTTCCGAATTTCTTAGCTTACAGAGGAGTACCAAATATGACGAAGTTATGGTTTTGTGTCCAGATAGCCTAATTGACTCCGTTCGTCGACTCCATTGACCTATGTATGTGACCTCGCAATTGCTCCAAGAGATTCGGTAAACTAATTTATTCTGCTTAATTTGATCAGTGAGATGTTTTAACCTACAAGCTTATATCTCAGTGAGTTTGTAGTTTTAAATGCCACTCTAATCCCATCCAGCCTTATTGAGAATGCTGCGTAGTTTTTTACTGCCTTCTCTATGGTAATTTTGTAGTGGTTTTTAATTCTCTCTTTACAGTGTTGGCACCAGTATTACCAGCGTTACTATTACTACTGTTTCAAGTGACCTCATTACTATAGAGTGGGATAAAGTAAACTGAGACACACTACACTAATCGCTCGATTAACAGTGAGATATTCCACCAGTATCCTAGATAGCATAAGGAAGGGAATCAGGAAAGAAAGTTTCTTATCCGTCCCAACATTTTGGTCAGCCATCCTCCCAGTAAGGCT